GACGAAATTTCGCAAGGAACCGAAATTTTTATTGTACTTTATTTCTTTATTACTATGTTGTACATTTTGGTCCCTTAGTATAAGGAAAGACGACCAGACGCTGCTAAACGAAGCAAGCTATCAAAAGAGTGTTTACCAACGACAAGCTCGTTGGGTTTTAACTTCTGGCTGGTCACGTCTTAGGGGCATCACTAACTCACTAGGGAGGAGTGATCTGTAGCTGTAAATAATTCCCCAAAATCAATAGCTTTCTAAGTGTTCGACATTGGATGCTGACCACGTTGTTTAAGTGGACTTGTTTGACTGTAGGCTTTTGGTCATGCATCCGCACCAGATAACGTTGCAACATGGCGTGGGACACAGCTCCTACGTTCATTAGCCAGCTTATAGTAAAGGTTCCTCGATATGTTGGTAACGCATCAAATATATCTTTCCTACCTCTCCTCGTCTGACTTCTGGCTTCTATTCGACTGGGAAAGAACGATTATAGAAGACACTACTGGTTGCTAGTTGTAAAACTAGTATACCCGTTGTATCCTCAATTCCGTAGCCTGAGAGAAATTGAAGTTAAACCTAACCCTTAAATGTCGATTTTTTCGATGTGAAGTGAGTCAATCAATTAAAGGTGATTTGATACCTAATCGCTTGAGACTATTGATAAGACATATATGGTTTGACGTATCAAAATTTTTTTGAGAAACCAAGGTAAATGACGGTAACCTTCCACTTGCGATCAAGGATGGTTGTCCATCTGTCCACCACAGTGATCGCGTTGGTTGTACAAGAATGACCCTTCCTGAAACCATGCTGTTGAAGTGATGAGAAGTTTAAGGATATAATCAGTCGTGTATACCGTTGCATATCAGGGACTCCATAATTTTTTGGGGGAAAAGAGAGAATTACTACCAGTGGTAGCTTGAAGGTTCACTGCATCGACCTCCTATGTAAACTGGTGTGACGTGTGCCAGCTTCCGAATTTCCGATAACTTGTCTTGACTTAGCGAGTGTGAGAACATCAGGATTGAAGCTGTTTCCCCCAGCGTAGCAGAGTGGACCAAATTCGGGTCGGTAGCAATGTCCTTGTTTAGGCGCTCCAGTTTCCATTACACCAAGCCAGCTCTCATGTTCACTTCGGGAAGTCCTGTACAGTTGCAAACGAAGCTTTCATCAATATAGTGCGGGTCGGTTGAAATGTCCGAGAGTGGTATTTGACAACCAACTCAAAACAAAGCGTTCTGATAGAAGAACACCCAAACGATTACTGCACGTAAGACACTATGTAACACTGTTTTGTCTAGAGCTTTTGATGTAACTGTGTCATAAGCACACTTTTCTTCATATGCACATCCATATTGTTTTCATTACAACGAAAAATAGAAAACAGAATCTTTCGTTGCTAATATGACTGGTTACATGTGTATATTTTTATTTTTTAAAAAAAACCAAAAGTCATCCTGCTAAAATAGTTTTCACGTTATTTCATATTTACTAAACACATGTATAAGATTTCATTTGTCTTTTTTCCATTTTGTGTCTTTTCGCACGTACGAGTTTAGCTTGACATGCTCTCACAAACTCTTTATTTCTTTACAGAACGGCGAGAAAACGTGAAAAATCCATGAAGTTTAAAATCAATTGAAATTTTCACTGCATCTGTTTATCATTAATATATTGTGCCACATGGCCCTTTACAGTAAGGAATGACGACCAGGCGCTTTTGAACATAGAAAACTATCAGAAGAGTTTTTACCACCGACACACTCGTTGGGTTTAAACTTCTTACGGGCCTCTTCTTAGGGTCATTACTGCCCCATTAGGTAGAGGGTGATCTGCGGCCTTAAATAAATCCCCAAAATCAATAGCTCTATAGGTTTTCGACATTTGATGCTGACCACGTTAGTTTTAATAGATTCACTTGGCAGAGGGTGCTCGGTCACGCATCCGCGCCATATCACAAGCGGGTACACCGTGCTTCACATCTCCTACGACCGCTAGTCAGTTTAGATTGATCGTCTCTCAACGCATTGACAGCCCATCAAATAAATCTTCGAACCTCTTCGCTTCTGACTTCTGAGTTGACTAGGTTGGCACATTTCGATTACAAAAGGTGTTGCTGTTTAAGACGTCGAACTTCGAAAACATGTAGAATCTTTAGAAGGAACAACACTGGGCCTCAAAACTGAATCCTGAGACACCCTACCAGGCACAGTTTCCCAGCTAGACAACTTTGTTGACGCCTGACTAGAGAGTTATTTATCCATATTAATAAACTGCCTCCAAACCCGGTATTATTTGACTTATACGATATCCGGTTTTGAAGAACATTACAAAAAGCCCTGCTGAAGACAATGCAGATTAGAACTATAGATAACTTTTGATTCCATGTCACAATTCAAAGGACACATCAAACGACATCCGTTTCGTAATAGTTGTTTTACAGCTGAAGTTAATTAGTTAAGGGTTAGCTGAGAAACTCTTGGTAATGTCAATACATCATAGCTCATGTATTTACTTATTCCCTTATTTTGTGTGGAAATTATATTTCCAGCTGCTCTATGTCGAATTTTGAGTGTTTTGTGTTTAAAACATTACCTTGCGTTCCTAAATGTTCTGTTTCATGGTCTGAATAAAAACCTAATATAGCCATTCCAGAGGCTTTCTGTATGTCAGAGCGAGGAGTATCCACCGGTACTAAAATTCTAATGACCGCTTCCCAGTCTCATCCTACTAATAATCCTAATGGTAATTCAGTAGTGTCTTCTACAGAACATATATCACTCTCTATTTCACAAGTGTTCTTGAAATTTATTCTGTACTTTTATTTCTTATGCAACTGCAACAGTCCTCTTTTCTTCCTCTGGTAACCATTATTGACTTCAGAACTCTAATGAAGTTAGACAAGTAACTGACTTTAAAATTTGATAATTTGGTTCGTTTAAGAGCCTTTACTTCTGAATATTATAATTAGTTTCCCCAACTCATTCTTACTCAACACATGCTCCCATTTCATAACAGTCACATAACAGAAACACTTAGTCTGCACAACTACAATTGACATATAATTACTGAACATCGCAAACTAAGAGCAGCATACTTACAACTGAAAAACATCTGGAACTCAAAACAATTGTCAACCAACACCAAGGTTAGAATTTTCAATACAAATGTCAAGACAGTTCTTCTGTATGGGGCGGAAACGTGGAGAACTACGAAAGCCATTATCCAGAAGATACAAGTGTTTATTAACAGTTGTCTACGCAAGATACTTCGGATCCGTTGGCCAGACACTATCAGCAACAAGTTACTGTGGGAGACAACAAATCAGATTCCAGCGGAGGAAGAAATCAGGAGGAAACGCTGGAAGTGGATAGGGCACACTTTCAGGAAATCACCCGATTGCGTCACAAGACAAGCCCTCACATGCAATCCTGAGGGTCAAAGGAGAAGAGGAAGACCAAAGAACACATTACGCCGAGAAATAGAGACAGACATGAGAAGAATGAACAAGAACTGGATAGAACTAGAAAAGAAGGCCCAGGACAGAGTGGGCTGGAGAATGCTGGTCGGCGGCCTATGCTCCATTGGGAGTAACAGGCGAAAGTAAGTAAGTAAGTAACATCGCAAACTATGGAGGACAATTTTAAGTAAGGAAAAGATGGGGAGGTTATCAAAAAGTGAATAGCACCATAGAGTTGATTAAAGCTAACGATACAATAATAATAATCGCAAGCAAACCAACGACAACAATCGAGGAAACGCCATAAGAAGTCGAAGCAGTTGATAAATCTCAGAATAAATAACTCTGTAAGTCTTAGACATTCACGCTGACATCATTAATTTTACTAGACACACTCTAGCTGAAGGCGCTCGGTCAGGCATTCGCAACAGATCATGAGTAGGCACGTCGTGCTATGCATCCCCTGCAACTCCTAGACAGTTTAGACAAAACACTTCTCGACAAATCTATAGCTTACAGGATAAATCCTCGAACTCATTCCTGACTTTCGATTTCGTTGCGTTATTATTCTTGGATTGCAATGATGTCGCGTTTAGAGACGTTTTGAAAATCAGGATACTTGTGGTATCTTTAAATGTTTTATAATCGAGAGGCCTAAAACAATGCGAGAATCAGACAATATAACCAGACATTACGTTCTAGGAACTAAATCATTCTGTAAAAAGAGGATTTGTGCCGTGACCAAATGTACGGACACTTCAATAAATGACTCAAAATATAGTATCAGCGTCTGACGTGTCTATTAGTAGAAAAACGGTAAGACACCTGGTGATTCTGGTATTTGTACAGTCATTCTTCGAGGATGAGAACAGTTCACGTGAACTTATTTTGACTGCTAAATCCAAATATGAACGGACACTCTCTAGATAAAGAACAATCAACATGATCCACGAGATTCAGACGGTCGCATATAATAACGATTGTTCGTTTGCTTAGGCTAAAGTAACAATTTCTGTGACCTAACATCATTAATGAACAGAATCGGTGTTTCTATCTCATATTTTACACACCAACCGCTCACTAACTACAGTGTATGCAGATAACAGACAAGGGACTTAACACGGGCGGATGAACCTAGCGCAGGTCTGAACAAACAAATATCAGTAGTCTGTAGTATTCAGAAGTGAGCAATTACACGACCTAATTGCAAAATATAAAAATTCTAGCCAGAAGTTGACCATTCAACATTTCATGTTTTCCCCTGCCAAATGATGAAATGTTCGTGATTTTTCGATAACAGCATCTTGCTCCATTGAGTTTTCATGTCGTCCGAAAAGCAATTAGAACAGCCTTCAAGGTCTTTAACTCTCACTGTATGAAGATTGGTCGTTATTTGTTATTCTTCTGTTTCGTCTGCAGCCACTAGAACCATTCGAATCATAGCTTGGCATTAGATGCCATCTCCAAATGTTACAGGCCACAAAGCCTCCATCATAATCAGCGGGTCTTTTGTGCTCAAGGTCGCGCCGACGTACTTCGAATAATGGAAAGGCCTTTACTTTCTCCGTTTAGCCCTAATCTTCCATATTCTGCAAAAGAACGATGGGTTTGCGTTTATCCTGCGTATCTAAATAATCGTCGTACAAGAGCTCAAGGGAGGAAATTGTCTGTGGAACACTGTGTTGATAATCCCAAGCACTCAGAAGTAACAATGATTTTGGGGAAGCTCTCTCTCGACTATCTGTTGGAGACAAAGGTTATTTTCATCTGCTTATAGCCTCTTACAGTTTTCAGGTTCATCCCAAGGAAAGGGATGCTTTTGAACCTATGAACAAATGGCGTGTCCGCGTCCATTTGAAAAATGATGATGGCAGTCCCGTAAATAAACAGTAATTGTATCTTCTTTTTCTTTTCCAGCTTCTAGATTTCCAAATCGTCAATCCCTTTTATCATATTTGGGGGAGGCTCTTCCTGTGGTGCGGTCAAGAAGACCAGCTACATCTAGTTCTAGTACTACGGAACAAACTTTCCAAGGAAAGAAAAACAAGCGAAAAAGGAAGTGAATACATGGATTTCAAAGTTTGACATAACCTACTATTATGTAATTACCATAAACATACTTTACATTGGGTGGTTTTATCTTAACTTGTTACTTCTCTGTGTGTTTACAATTGTCTTAGATTGAAAATATAAAAAAGATTGGTTGGTTGCTAGTCTCATTATTATTACTTTCGCGTATACACGAGTGTAATTATTTCGGTGGTGTATGTATGAAAGTTGTTCGATGTTGAAATGTCATAAAGCGAACCTAATATCTGTATATTATGTAGTCATAGAATCTCACCTAAGGGTTTTTTGTTTGTATGGCAAAGTTTCACGTTTCTTAAAGATCACTTCACACATTTTATCATCAATACTTATTTTCACTTCATGGAGCGGAGGCTAAATTTACTAATCCCATGTTTCAACCACTAAATTTCATGCTTGATCTAGCTTCATTTACTCTGGTTTATGAGGCTCGTCTATTTTCACTAGTTTGAGACTATGTACACTAGTACGTACTTTGTAAATAAGTTGAATAAGAAGTTCCACGTCATGGTATATAAGGTTATGCTACCTAAAAGCTCTTTGATTGCCAACTTTAAATATGTAAGCTACAATAATTCGAACTTCAGTAGGCGTGTATCTATCTATGAGATTTTGCCAATCGGATATTCACGTTCGTACTTAACTCAGAATCGATTACTCATTCGGATTGCTTCAGTAGTGTTTATATGCCCCGGTCTGGACGAGAATATTAGATTTTAATTCTTTGAACTGTGTTATTCAGTAGCATCAGTATATTTTTTTTATCAGCTGTGCCGAATTGAAAATCACACCGGTGGCATCTGTCAAGCTGTGAATATATCGGACATTTTTGTCAGTCGAGTATTTTTGCGTCTCGAGCTTACCGGTTGTCCTTATGTATGCCTTTGTAAACTTTTTATACATATATTCTCCAAGAGGATTCTTCTGTTTAAATAAGTGGTTAATCAATTTTACAGATGACCTCTATTCTACGTAGGCTTGTTACAGAGGTCAATCTTCCTAAATAGTATCTTGTTGAAGGTGAGGCTATAATTTATGAACGACCTTTAAGTGACGCTAAAGCGACCTAGAGAATGTCCACCTATTCACTAGAACTGAATGAGGGTTATAAACCAGTGCGAGGAATTAGAATTAAAATTTACATTTGATGGTTATGGTTAGGAATTATATTTAGGGTTTTCATCGCGAACTAACAGCTAAAACTCCATTTAGCCAAATGGATGAATGAATTTCACGCCAACAACCAAGACCTTTTATTATCTTATTAGTTCTTCCATAAATTATGGTCTCGCCTTGTTAAATTACAACAGTTGATTTCATGTTGAACAACTGATATTCCTAAGGTTTAGTAAACGTGTTGATAATAATTAACATGACTAGTTTGTCAGTTACATCGCCTAAATGTGCTATTTAGAGGAACCGGCTTCATTCTAGAGTGGTAAGCATGATCTTTTCTGAAAACGAGTTTTAAAAACTTCCACTAGTATCTTTCTTCTATGACTTTGTTCTCTAAGGGAGAAAGACATGTCCACAAACGTACCCTTCGTATGTTGATAATTGGCAGGATTAATGTAAATCTCAGTCTGTTTATCCAATCTATTAGTCTTCGTTTTCTGAGGATTATCTGGGAATATCATAATTGTGACAGACACCAATTAATTGAAACTAGATTTAGGGACGAAGTTCTGTCGAACTCGGTTCTCGCCGTTTATCTTAAACTAAAACATCTCAGTCAAGGCCTTACTTTCATTTTGAGTGTAAATTGTGGTTTGGTGGTAATTATTGATTAATTTCATAAACCGATGAAGGATGTTACTTATAAGAAACTCGCTGTTGCACTGGTTTTGATTAGAAATTTAAAATACACTGGAAATTTCGCCTTCTAGACGTTTATAAATACAAGGATAGTTTCTGATGTTTTGCGCCTCCTTAGTTGCTTGGTATTTTAATGGGAAACAACTGGTCGTGTTAGGTAGTTGAAGGAAAGCTATTTTTGTAAATAATGCTGATATTATTATTGGTCGTCTGTATATATATATATATATATATATATATATATATATATACTTTGAAGGTCTGCTATATATGACCTTTTAGTGAGAAATATATTGGCAGTGTTCTTGTGTTATCATGTTTTCAGTAAACTCCTGGCTGTCATCAGTAGTGCTTAGGTGATACATAAGTAACAACAACTGAGATTTTTTCGGTGGAAACCAATCATTTAACAGTTAATTAGTCCTCGATAAAGCAAAACTGAGAAAATCAAGTAGGTTTAGTCTTAACTGTAGGTGCATTGACCAGATCACTACTTATCACTGGGTATTGGATTGTGGACATGGTGACTTCATACTGTAGCCGTATTCTTTGACACGAAACGACACATTTCTTTCCCATAAGCGAATCTTGTAGTGACGTTCTTTTTGAAAGGTATACCAAGGAAATACACCAATCTACTGAAGGCCCTCCAGTCAAATAGAATCGGTCAAACTTTAAAGGGAACCGTAATTTAGGCTGGCGACATCAGGCAAATTCAGGGTTACTCACTCTTACTTTTTACTTAATTTCGTCAGAAATGCTTATGGAAGTGAATCTTTCTTAGTCAAGGTTTTCAGGGATTGATTTCCTACTATGTATAAGGGTGTTATGATCTTCCTTGGTGTGTTTTGAAAATCGAGTCTTCTAGATGCCTCGATCGACAATGCAAACATACCTGCAATATGCTTCTCGGCTGTAAGTACAAATATTACTTTAGAGCTTGTCCTCACCGATGTTTAATCTAGTTACACACTTCAGCTTGTTTTTCATTTTTGGAAATCAGATGCCAGTTATACACTGAAGTCGGATTTCGTACTGTTTGACTATTACGATTCGCCAAAGTTGAGTCAGATTTGAATAAATTAATAGATTTTTCCTTTGTATACCTCATTTGACGATTCGTTTTCAGTAATTCAGTTATGAGTAGACTAGGTGCATAACAAATTCTTACGTTGTTTATTTTATAGGGTTATTTTGTAAAAGTAATAAACAGAACTACTAAATGCTGATATGGGAATAGTGTGTAGGTATATATACATATGTTTGGTGACGTAATCGGTCTCATTTTGAATTACTGTGTAAATTTTATTGATAAAGAAGTATAAGAAACATAATTGATAGGAGAATGTGTCTATTTTGTATTTTAAACTTAGCACATAATTTTTCATAGCTAAATAACAAGTTACTACAATAAGCAGGCCTTTCTGATTGGATATTTGATAACCTAACTAGATGTTTAGTTTTAGTTTAACATTATAATGTTCTAGTCTTATTTACCGAATCAGTGATAATGTTGTGCAGTTTAAAGTTGAATAAACATATACATGATAGCCAATAGAATGTCTGTGTTTTTTTTATTGTTAATGTAATTAAGTTTATAAGCACCAACTGATTATGCTACTTCATTCTGATTATACCTGAAAACTTGTAAAACATTGATGGATAATATAGTAAATATTACTTAGTGATGTCAAAATTGGCTAATCAAGTGGATATGTAAGTGGTTACTGTTGAAGCATAACATTCTTTTTGTTCAGAACTAAGTTGACTTATTAATTCGCTTGACATTTTTTAGATGTATAAGATTGTTTAGGAAAAGGAACTAATTCATTGAAACTTTTTGTTATTCGACTGTTAAGATCTATATTAAAATGAATCGAACAGGATCGTAGTAGATATTATTATTCACTCACATCGAGCTAATCTAGAATTGTGTTACTATTTATTTCACGTAAGTCAGTTATTAACTTCCCTAGTCAATATATGCTCTGAACATATATGCATATATACATTACACAGAACTTCTCTGGTATTGTCTATTAAAGCAGGGTGTGCGTAATAAGCGTTTTCAGTTATTTGAAGGCTCTGTATATGAACACGTTAGTCAGTGAGGGCATATAACACTCGGTTGCCCGACTTTGTGATCAATGACGTATAGAAGACAGCTCGGAAGGAAGTGAATGTAATCGGTGTAGTTCTGTCACTTGTATAAAGACTTTAATTTCAAATATATGGATGACATTATCATCTGTGAGATGATAAACAGGTTATTTGAATGTCAGTTCTGCACATAAAATCCTTTCAACTTTGTTAGGGTTTCAGTTATTTAACATGACATCTTAAATATAAACTTATGTTAGTGCTATGGATGAGTATTCTGTTGTCTGATTATCTCTTGTGTGTTTCCAGCCTCATGACTATTTTCAGCACGACATTAGACTTTTTTCTATTTGTTTCAACGAATCTAAATGAACTACAACAATGTCATTTATTATTTAGCAGTACTTCTACAACCATATGTTTTACTGATTGATATCCCTGTTATCATAATTTAGCTAATTCTAATTGTTCTGTTGTTCAGTCTTAAAATGAAACTCATTTTCGAAATTTTCTAACCACTAATAAAATCTTATTAAAATTTTTATCTGGTGAATAGTGTTTGTACTTAGTCCTTTTTTCAAATCAAAAGTTGATGTTTTTGAACCTTTCGTTAGTATATTAATTCATCTTAATTTATTGTATAAAATATTTAATCTAACTTCTCTTGACAAGAGTTTATTTATGCTCTACAATGAATAGAAATAAACGAATTGTAGGCGAACAGAGTGATGAGCTGATATTAGCACCATAAAATATATCTAAAAATAGATTTAAGAATCAACGATATGTTCTAAGTGGAATAAGAAAAATATGCTATTTGAACTGTACTTTGAAATCCTAACGTCCCAACTATCAAAATTTGCAGATTGTAACAAGTGGATCAATTCAACTGAGTTTGTTACACGATACTTTACGATTTTCAACATTTGGCCTGTAATATGGTCGAGGATCGTCGGTAACCCCAATATGTTTTGTTTCTCAAACAGATCTGATTTCATGAAATATTATTCGAACTCAAGATACATACTTGCATTATGAATAAAATTTAGTCATTATGGGG